GTCACTCATGTGTTAGGTGTTGTATAATAAGTTGTATAATATTTTCCCTGATGGTTTAGACTGAGTCTACTGATGCTAAAGGATACAGAAGGAAGAAGATGGGGATTGACAAGAGTATTTTAAGGATAAGAGATGGTGAGGTGTGGAAATAGAGTCAAGGCATAGGTTCAGGAAGGCCTATCCTGAAGGAAGTAGTAGCCTGGTAAATATATGGGAGGAGACAATTTTTGAAGTATAGGAACCAGGATGGCAGAATGTGCACAACTGAAGATAGGACACTAGCAGATCGACTTAAAAGAAATGGAAAGAGGAAGAAAGAGAATAGTGGAAGAGGAGAGTAAAAGAGAAGAGACAGTTTGGGAATCTTACACATAAACTTTACTTGCTTTATATTAGTCCAGAGATCAAAAGAGAAGGTAATGGAGAAAGTGATCTTGGCAAATTGACTGACGGGTGAAAGCATTGCTGAAAAGAAGGGTACTGGAGTGACCATGGCTCAGAGAAGTGCCAGGCTGAATCCTTGGCAAATAATAATAATAATAATAATAATAATAGTAATAGTTTGGCAGGGTGCTTGATGTTAATTGTAGTCAAAAGAAACAGAGTGGACTTGAGGATGGATCAGTTGCCACTATTTGCTGGCTCTGTGTGCTGATTACAGTGTTACTCTTCATTTTGGGAACAAGTTCCATATTACTTTTTAGCCTTTTGTTTTAAATGCTTGGCTGGAAATCTGGTGGATTCATGTATTAAGAGAAATGATGTAACTTTGAGAACGTAAGAGCCCATAAGTTCCCAGTTCAAATTTTGTTTCACTCATGATCTCAATTAACCAAATAATTGTATCCCATCTTTGTGAGCCTCACTGCTTGTAAGAGATACAAGGATTATTGTAAAAGTTATTGAGATATCATGAAGCAGTTTGCAGTATTAAAATGCTATAGAGGTAAGGTTTTTTATGTTAGTGGTAATATTGGCTTTTATTTTTTATTTTATTCAACATTAAATTGAGTTGCACATGATTTCAGTTTAGCATTACATTTCAAATCAAATCGTTTATTGCTTAGCTAACAGTCACCACATTTACCATTAAATTGTACATTTATTCTTTTCCATTTTAGGGAGCTGCACTTAAATATTTGCCAACTATTGTGAATGATGTGAAACTTGTTTTTGACCCCAAAGAACTTAGGTAAGAGTCAAAATGTTTGCTATGCTTTTAGCTTTTAGTCCTTGATATATAATTTTTTAACTTGTTTTTGTATGTGTGTAAAGACTATATATGATTGGTATTTTATTGCTGCAGTAGAAATCTGGCACCCAAAATGATTAACTATAATCAGTTCCTGATTATACGGCATACGGAGCAAACATATTTCACTTTTAGTATACATATTTTTTCAGATAAATGTTGTTGACCTTCACAGGTTATAGATTATACAATGAGTGTCAAAGATTTTTAAAAATGTTGAGCCATCAGAATCTTTAATTTTTTCGTTATGTACCACATTTTAGACTGTAATCATATGCACACTTACTTGGGACTAAACCCTGTTAAGCTCAGCAGGACTTCTGAGTAAATGTGCATTGGTTTTGCACTATTATACACATATTTTTCAGTACAAATGTACTGATGTTTATTTAAATTATTGCTTTATCAAGAACATCTCAGAGCAGATTCTAATATTGCTGTAAAGTTTAACAATTCTTACCATTTCAATATGCAAGTCTAAATGACTTCTATGAATATAACTTGTATTTTATTTTATTTTATTTTATTGGTGTGGGCATTATAACCATAGATGGGTAGAACTAGGAGAGCCCCAAATGGAGTGCGTAAATGATTCCAAAACAGTGGACCAGGGTGGGGTGGATAAAATCATCAAAGCTTGCTTTTTAAATGAAAAAAACAAAAACAAATAATTCCCTGGGTGAGATTAATATTTATTTTATGGTGATGTCCTGTGCTTGCTTACTCAGAAGTAATTCCCACTAACTTCACTTGCCCTTACACCTAGGCAAGATTATGGCCTTAATGTCTCTGTGTGCATGTATATACAAGTGTGTGTTGCAGCTTACACACTTACTTCGGAGTAAGGCCCAGTGAACTCTTGAGTCTTACTTCTGAGTAGATAAGCATATGATGTTACTTCGAGTCATTTATTTATTTACAATCAAGTGGTGTATACATTTTATGACATAAATACTGGTAGGAGCCAAGATCCTCATGTGAATCAATCAGTTGACCTGCAGAAACCTTTATTTGCATTGGATTTTCAAAGAGATTATGGGGCAGGGTTGGAGAAGGGATCAAAAACAGGAATTCCTGTATGGCGGTTGTGTTGGGCGAGAAGGGTATTTCAGTCGTTCTGGGCATAAAACTCCAGTCAGATTAGAAGAGAAATGAAGAGCTATATCCAGCCTGTTCTTAGTTTGTTTTGCTACATAACTGGATAGGAAGACTGTGTGACTTGTAAGTGATGAGGTCTCCAGGTCAGAAAAGTTATTTGCCATGGAATTCTTGTTTACACACATGAGGGTCTAGGGTCATGTTAGACCGCAGTTCGAGGTTGTTATTGTATATTAACATACTTGCTTCCAGTTTGTTTTTAGGAGATGCTGGTATTGTTGCCTTAAATTCCATGGTAACAACCTTAGAATCCAAGCAAGCTAGAAGGGTTAAAGCTGGGCATATCTTCAAATTTTTACCTACGTATGTCTTGATATTGCAGTCAAAGTGATTAAGCAGGGTTTGATTAATCACACCTTTTTAGTTAAGTCTGAAGTTTTCCTTTCAACCATGTAAAATAGACTGATACTGCAGCAATCTTAGGAACTGTCTTACCAGAATAAATGATTGCAGAAATTCTGAAATTTGTGAAGTGTCTAGTTTCCAGGCTCATCAAGCCATAAAAGTGCACCAAAATGTGTTTTGTGGTTTGAGCTGAGTCTTGCAAATTAACAAGGAGTTTAGAATAATATATTTATATCAGGAAAATGTTTTTGGTTTTTTTTCTAAAAAAGCTTTTCAAAACTCCCAAATTCTTAAATTCACATTTGAAAAACATTTTACTGAAATTGTTAACTCCTTCATTCTGTTAATTTTCTTTTTGTTTCTCTCCCCCGCCGCAGCAAGCTATTCACAGATTTTATACTGAATGTTCCAATGGGCCGTCTCACAATTCAGAAGCTATATTGTTTGATTGAAATAGTTCACAGTGACCTTTTCACTCAGCATGGTAAGGGGGGGGGGGGAAATCACAGAATCTTTAAAGAATCATTAAATTGTCTCATTATTTGCTATCTGCCAGTCTTTGTCAGGGCCAGCTATTCCTTACTGCAGATAGCAGTTGAGGTTGTAGCCAATGATCCACAACCTTTATTGCAAGTGCAAATGTGTATATATTTGTAGAGTAAAAGTTATAGAAGGTTGGTCCGCATGTAAAGTGATGCTTAGCTTGGCTGTCCTTAGGCTCACATCCTTCTTCCCGTTTCCTATCTATTTCTTTGATCAGTTGTCTCATAGCCAAACTGGGCAAAGTATGGTTTGCCTTCAAATCCGACATGAAAACCATATTTGGGTTTGTGGCATCCCATAATTAAATTATACATTTAATTGCACACTACAAAGAAACCGTGGAGGAATGAAGTGGCATGTTTGCTAAGTACTTCAGGGATAAAAGCTCCTCCGGCCAAGATAACGGGTCAGTATGCAGATGTGTCCATAACCTAGTCTTGTATTGTTAGATGAATGACGTTCTTGGATAAATATGGCCTTCTTTCGTATGCTTTCTCCTTGTCCCTCTTGCATTACAACATGGAGCAGGCAGGAATTGATTAGCTATGCCCTATTTGCGAGAAGTGTGGTCTCAACAGCCCTTTCGGAAGTTACCGTATTTTTCGTCCCATAGGACGCACCTAGTTTTTTTGGGGGGGAAATAAAGGAAAAATTTTTTCCCTTTATTTCCCCCCCAAAACCAGGTCGGGGAAACCGAACCAGGTTGAGGAACAGTGGGATGGCGGCGCTGCGTCTCCCTGCTGTCCCCCGAGCTTGTGGGGCTGGCCGATGTCTGCCCGGCGTGCGGGGCGCTCTGCTTCAGAGTGCCCCACGCGCCGGGCGGCAGGCTGCTATCCGGGGTCACCAGATGTTGGGTTGAAATAAGCGACAGACGAATGGCAAGGTGTCATACGGGAGGCATCTCTCGAGCAAGTCTCGGAGAGTCCCTTTTATTGAATATTACAGCATTTGCCACATATGTGCTTATTGCTGATTGGTTAACACAAGTACAAAGCAAAGGTTACATATTACATTAATCACCAATAGATTAAAGGTTGGGAAAGGGAGCACAGAACTAGACAGGCATGAAACCTCGTAATTAAATTATAACTAGTGATTGATATAGCAAGACTAAAACAATTACTAATGATTGATCATAACATGAAAGAACATAACAATCGCGTTCCGTAGATGTGGTCAACTATGCATTAAGAACAGGTCAGAGTATAATGTTTTCATGAACTCAATATGAACTGAACATTCTAGGGTGATGAGGGAATGTCTTAGTATTGGAACGGTTTGTGCAGCATGTGCAGAAGAAAAGCTTAGAAGCAAGACTTCCCATCATGCCACAGTCATGTGCAGAAGCAAAGCTTCCCTTCATCGCGGGGAACTCCTGCAGGGCTCCCCACGCTGCGGATGTCTGCCCGGCGCGAGGGGCGCTCTGCTTCAGGGTGCTCCTCGCGCCAGGCGGCAGGCTGCTATCTGCAGCCTAGACAGCCCTGCGGGAACTCCCACAGGGTTGCCTAGGCTGCGGATGTGTTCCCTAAGCGCCGGGCGCTCTGCTTTCAGCGCGCCCGGCACTGCGGGAAGCAAGCTGCTATCCGCAGCCTAGACAGCCCTGCGGGATCTCCTGCAGGGTTGCCTAGGCTACGGATGTGTTCCCTAAGCGCCGGGCACTCTGCTTTCAGCGCGCCTGGCGCTGCGGGAAGCAGGCTGCTATCCGCAGCCTAGACAGCCCTGCGGGACCTCCTGCAGGGTTGCCTAGGCTGCGGATGCGTTCCCAAAGCCCCGGGCGCTCTGCTTTCAGCGCGCCCGGCGCTCCGGGAAGCAGGCTGCGGAGCCTAGACAGCCCTGCGGGAACTCCCGCAGGGCTGCCTAGGCTGCGGATGTCTTCCTGAAGCCTGGAGAGCAAGAGGGGTCGGTGCGCACCGACCCCTCTCGCTCTCCAAGCTTCAGCGAAAGCCTGCATTCGCCCCAAAGGACGCACCCAGATTTCCCCTTCATTTTTGGAGGGGAAAAAGTGCGTCCTATAGGGCGAAAAATACGGTACTTGTTTTAAAAATATTTATACTCATACCTTTCTGCCTGACAGTAGGAGGCTGCCAGTGAAAAAGCAACACATAAGGGGCAATGGTGACTTATGTAAGCTCAGGATGGGACAAAAGATGGAAAATGTCCACTTCCCAGACATTTGATGTTGCTGCTGTAGCTGTTTTCAGCACTTGTCAGACTGCTTCTGAAAATTCTCTGGACCTGGAAGATTGTGATAACTATTGGCTGCTTGTAAACATTCCCTTTCTGAGCAAGGTGCTCAAAGTAGGTGGTTGCTCTGCAACTCCCAAGATCTTGTGGACGATTATCTACTTTCAATTCAATCTGGATTTAAGCTTAGTTTTTGGTGCTGAAGCTCTTTTTGTTGCCCCAAGGAATGGCCTCTGCCAGAAAAATAACAGGGGAAACACAAGCCCGCTAATCTTCTCTGTGGGTTTCAGTATCATCAGCCATGGTATTCCCTTTTTTAATTTACAAGCATATATTCCCTTGACTGTGTAGAAACCACTACCTTTATTTGGGCCAGCCCTTTTTGCTTCAAAACTCTGAGATGCATAGCCACTTGAATTTGCTATGAGAGGCAATGCCTGGTGATTCTTTTCAGTGTTCCTGGGGGGTGCAGTGCTGTACCTAATGCTACACTTTGCTTGTGCAGTATGATTAAACTACACAGTCCAACAAATACTGTTCTTTTCCATTGGTGACTCAAGCTGAGTTCTTGAGTACATTTCATTGAATTTAAGGTACATTGAGTCATGCATGCTTTCAGGCTGTTAGTGATTTTGAGGACCCATAAAACTATTTTTTACAGTTTAATGAAATCCTACACTAGGTTTTGAGTTTCAACGTTTTCCTTTTGTGTAAAACATATATGGATATCTAGCTATAGGTAAGAATAAACTGCCACTCTCTGACATAAGTTATGACAACGTAATAGTACAAAGCCTCTCTCTTTTTCTGTTTTTGTGCAGTTCTTTCTCCCTATAATTTCTTGTTTATAGTACCATGTATAAACTTTGTGGAGGCAGATAGCTGAAGTTCAGTATTCGCTGTGACCTGCCACAGTGAATACATTTTTTTATAAAGCTTATGATCATGCCAGCAAAGCTTCTGGATTTGTATTGACACCCCAAAATTACCAATGTAATAATAGTAATAATGAGCACATTTTGGTAATTGAGTGTTCAGAGAGATGAATGTTGTGGTTATATGGGCAGGGGCTTTAATATGGATTACATACATTGAATTATAGATTATCCCCACACCCTGTAACTTGTATGTGTCTGGTTGTGGAAAAGGTCAAAACGGAACTAAGCGTCTGAAAGTTTCGTAAAAGATTTTTCTCTTCTTCACTGTGGACTTTACTTAGAGGTGAAGTCAGCATATTTGAAAAATGAATCAAGTGGAGCTGGTGACCGGAACACAGGTTAGGACTGTGATAAATAGGCTTCCTTGATGTTGAAAGATGTGCAAGCCACAAATACCCCTACCAATGTCAGCTTAAAACTTAGTATTCTGCTTGGATGTAGTACACTATGATATTATAAATGGCAGTATGTTTGTCTTCCAGTTTCAACAGAATTCTTAATTCTTTTAAAAATTGCATTTCAATTATGCTCAGATATTTGGGAAGATGCCTCAGTAAAAATACCTCCCTCCACTCCCAGAAAGAAAAGTAAAAAAGGAACTTCTATCTAAAATGTTCTGGGAGGACCGTTTGGAATGATTTTATGTTGATGATTATGAATACAGTGTTATGGTATTGGAACCATGACAATATTTCCTGTATTTTGAATTTTCTAGATTATTTGTTGCATTCTTGGTGAGTTCTGGGCACAAGGCTTGTAGGGAAAAGAGGCAGTCTCCAGTTTGTGTTGAGCACAGAACATGCAGGACCTCAGATAGTTCCCATGGGCTCTGCTAAGTCAGCTACAAGTTATTGCAGGGGACTCATCCTTTTTAGTAAGAGGATGGAAACAAGAGTTGTGTCTTTCAGGTAGGAAGGCCCTGAATAAGGTACTGATGAAGTAGCCCAAACCTTGTCCTCATTTGAGTCTTCAGTACACTATGCAAAGTTACTTGGTTGGTCAGTCATGGCAATTCTATATTATGGAGATCTAGACCTAGATTGGTAAAATGATAAATTGCCTTATCCTGTACTGTTGTTAGAACTTAGGGTGAATCCATCAATTAATGGTCTCTAGTCAAGGTAGGCATATCTTAGAGCTCATCAGAAGGATTCCCCGTAAGATCTTCTGCACCAGTTAAACATTCTCAGTCCCCCTAATCTTCATGTCTGCCTTTGAGCCTATAAGTATCCTGTGTAGAGTGCTCACTCACCAGTGGATCCCAGCTGGATCCACTAAGATGCCCCGTAAGATCTTCTGCACCAGTTAAACATTCTCAGTCCCCCTAATCTTCATGTCTGCCTTTGAGCCTATGAGTAAGTATCCTGTGTAGAGTGCTCACTCACCAGTGGATCCCAGCTGGATCCACTAGTCATCATGGTGTGGCCTGAGGAAGTGGGTAGGCAGTACAGACATACCTCCATTTCCCACAGGTAAGGGTTTGGTCTCTGCAGGTTTCACCTCTTGTTAAGAGTTTGTTACAACACTGATAGTTGTTTTCTCTCTGCAGGTGTTTATTAGTTTAAACTGAAATAAAGTGGCCCTAGTTGTAATTAGCTTATTATGTGTCTGAATCTTTATTTGGCCGTCAGGTTGCAACTAAACAGATGGACATGGACAGTGTTTTCAGATTACTAAAAACCCATGCATTTGAAAACTACTTGTCCATAAAAGACTGGAGAACAAGCTCTTGCTGTTTTAGTCCTCATTAAAAATGTTCATATATTTTAGCATGCTCTTGATGGCAGAGGGAACATTCAACATGGTTCAGTGGGTCACACGTTTAACATGGCTAGTAAAATATTAGACCCCCTTAGGAGATGATGTTCATAAAGTGTTTTAAGTTCAGATTCATCAGAGTGCTTACATTTTGCTTTAACATGGCTGTGTTGCTCTGAACAGTTTTGCTTAGTTAATGGTGCCCTGCTGAGCATCTGTTTAAAAAAGATTAATACTTTATTCTTGCACATGTTCACCTGACATTAATCATCTTGGGTTAGATCTGTGCAGCAGAAGATGAACAGATGCTGAAGTATTGTTGCTTGTGGTTATTGTCTCATACTTATGAGCTGTCTTCAGCCTTTGTATTGTGAACAAGTGCATAATCCTATAGGCAACAGATTTTTTTCAAGGTCACTCATTAATCATTGTAGTGACGTGCATATGACTATAGTTTGGGGATATACCATTTCTTTATCATGATGTCTGGATAACCAAGCAAAGAGAGAAGACATGCAGGAAAAAATGGGGAGAGGGTTTGGGGAAGGGCAAAAATCCTGCGTTTCTAACTGGTTGCTTCTGATTCAACTGACATGTATTGCAGGTAAAACAAGAATGTTTGGCCTCAAAAAAGCCAAACGGAAAAGAATATAAATACAGAAAATCATTTTAAACCATGGCACCCACCACAGTTTAAAATCATTCCAGAAATTATTCCAAATGTGATTGCACTATAACCACATCTTGTAGATAATTAATTGTTGGGCTGTAATGTGGAAGTATGCAGGAAGTTATGTCGTTATAACTTGTGACACATTTGCAGTCCTGTTCAGTGATTTGGTATCTGCAAATATAGACATATGAATCCATATTTTACATGTATGTTTTGCAAGTATTTGGGAAATTTTACTGGAAATCATTCTGCACCATGGACGTAATTGCACTGGGCAAGATGATCTTTGAAACACCAATTTAACCTTGCATCAGTGGGTGAAATTAACCAAAAATTGAAAAACACACACAATATTACATGAGCATTTAGGGGAATTAGCAATGATAATTTAATATGACTAGGATATTAATTTACTCAAAATGAAGTAAAAAATGGTTTTGCCTCTTGAAACACAGATATATAACTATGAAAGAATAAAATAGAGTTGTCACAAATCACAGAGACTACCCACCAGACAATGCCTGGATCATGCACTTTAAACACGTTTGGCTTCAGTTTAGAAATTTGTCATAAGCTTTGTGTTTTCAAGGTTAAGTACTTAATTACTTTTTCCCCGTTCAATATGCAGACTGTAGAGAGATTTTGCTGCCAATGATGACAGATCAGCTGAAGTACCATTTGGAACGGCAGGAAGACCTGGAAGCCTGTTGCCAATTGGTCAGCAACATCCTGGAAGTACTTTACAGGAAAGATGTGGTTAGTAATTAAGTGTGTTTATTTAATACTGAAATCTTGAAAGTTTTCAGTACTGCTGTGAGTGGGCATAAGGCTAAAAGAAGTAGAGATTCTTCTTGCCTTAGGGCTCTATTTTAGAAGGGAAAAAAGCTAAAAGTTGGCATTGTGACAAGTATATAATTTTTATTATTTTATCAAACAATTTATCAGTAGGTAGGAGATCTGGAGCCGGTAAGTAGGATGCAAGCACTTTAATTCTCTGTGCTGCTGTGGCATTTTGCAAAAGGAGGGAGCTGTGGGGCTTCTCTGCTGCATTTAAACACCACCCCTGAAGACTGCTAACAAACAATATTTAAACTATTGTCTTGGTAGGAGTCAGGTGATGTCGAGACTAGTTTCACCTGGTCCTATGAAGTTTTTGGCTCTGGTCTCCTCCTCAGTTTGACCAGATGCATACTGGTCTCTTACAAATAGTACCTACTTCTTTGCTCAGTGGTCTGAATACACGGCTTCCTTGCTTCCCAGCTCAGTTCAAGTGCTGGGTAGGCACTTGCTTACTTTCACATTGTCATCCCTGACA